TATAAGCTACCGGTTTATGTATCTTAGCATTGTGTGCGCTACCAGTATATAGCAGTGCAGTATAACCTTGTATCAAGAACACATAAAACCTATATAAGGGTTTAGATAAGGCATATATGAGGTGTATAGGGTTTGGGCCCGTGTTTGCGTGGTGCCTGTGCACTGTGTGCAGTAGAATACCTTGGTGGTGTCCATAGCGTTTTATTCCATCTATGCATTATAATACCTTCGTAGGTTACATGTGCAGTATATCGGTGTGTTACCTGTGCAGTATAATACGTGTGCATGCTACCTGCACAACCTAGCGTCTCAGTGTACATGCGCGGGCTAGTCTCGTGGCATGGAACACCTGCGTCACACTGATTGCAGGTAATTTCCTGTAACGTAATGTGTTTTAACCTACCTGCTGGCACCTACGGCCGCCACCCTGCTACCTTACTCATACACGTAATCAACACGTCTGCGAGGTCGCAGCTGATTCTATATATCGGGGGTCGGGGAGGCGTAATGCTGGAGCTGCCCTCGTTCTTGTTCTCGTTTCAATTCTCGCGTGTGTTCCTTCCCGACACCTGAGCGAAAACTGCCCGTTTACCTTCGTAGGTGTTATACCTGCGCCTCGCCGCGTCTGCTGCTGTGCACCTTTGCTGCTTTGCCTCGAGTGGGGAGAGATAGAGTGAAGTGACCCGGTGCTCGGTCTATAAGTGCAAGGTGCGCGTGCGCTCGTGTGCTCGTGTGGCAGGTGTATCATCGAGGGCGCTTGAAACGCTGTAATTTCGCGAATAGGTAAACTAGCAGGTGTAAGGTGGCTGCTGCTGCTGCTGCTGCTGCGGCTCGGCAGTAGCAATCGTGGTGGCGTGCGTGTGTGGGGGGCGTTAGCAGCTAGCGTTGCTGAGCGTGTCATGGTGGACTATACACTTACGCGAGGACTGGTGATTGCACCCTGTGTGTGTGTGGTGTGGGGGGGGGTGTAACCAGGGCGCGTGATTTAATTTACGGTCAGCCCAGATGATGTAGTGAGGCGGTTTGTAAGGTGACCCTGCCGTCCACGCGCGCGCTGTGTAAGGGCGAAGTGACGCGGATAGCGTACGGGAATGTGTACATATAGTGTAGAGGAAGAGGGGGGAGGGAAGGAGAGAGCGAGGGGGGAGAGAGAGAGAGAGAGAGCAGGAGGGAGAGAGACGAGAGGGAAGGAGAGAGAGAGAGAGAAGGAGAGAGAGAGAGCAAGAGGAGAGAAAAGGAGGGCAGAGAGAGAGAGGGAGAGAGAGAGAGAGAGAGAGAGAGAAGAGGGGGGGGGCGGAGCGGAACTGGAGCCAATTGCTCCTCCTCTCCTCCTCCTCCTCTGGCCGCTGCCGCGCGCTACAGTAGCTATAACCTACTATTGTCCCATTGTCATTGCCTGATCAGGCGTCTATTCGCTGGCCGAGGGTGATGCTGGTCTAGATCTCATCTTTCCTCGCCGGCTGAGTGCAGTCAGTCGACTGAACTGTTGACTCACTGGCTACTCGCGCCAGAAGATCTCTACACCTTACGTAGCTTCCCACCTTTAAACTACGGCACTCCGCCCCTCTCCCCGCTCCCCTCCCGCTTCCGTCACGCGTGGTGCGTGCGCGCTAGCGCGCCGCAGAGGGCGCTACGCACAATCAGCACGTGTGCGTGGCTGCTGTGTGTGTGTACCCGCGATCTGTGTGATGAGGGTCGAGTGTGGTGTCGTGCGATGGAGAAGAGAGAACTGCGTACAGAGCTGTGCTGCCGACCACGTGTGTCAAAGTACCTACTGCTACGAGGTAACCAAACATATATATTCTGTAGAGAGAGAGAGAGGAGCGAGAGAACAGACGAGCGCAGGAGAGGGCGGCGAGAGAGAGAAGAGCGAGAGAGAGAAGACGAAAGAGGAGAGAGAGGAATGGGAAGAGAGAGGCGGAGAGGAGGGCGAGAGGAGGAGAGAGATGAGAGAGAGAGGAGGAGAGAGAGAAGAGAGGAGAGAGAGAGAGAGGGGCGCGAGAGAAAGAGAGCGAGAGAGAGATAGAGAGAAGAGGGAGAAAGAGAGAGACACAGAGAGACAGAAGAGAGAGAAGAGCGAGAGAGGAGAGACAAGGAGAGACGGCAGGGAAGACGACGGAGAGAGAGCGAGAGAGGGAGAGAGAGACGAGGAGAGAGGGGAGGAGAGACAGAAGAGAGACGAGAAGAGAGAGAGAGAGAGAGAGAGGGGAGAGAGGAAGAAGAGAGGGGCGAGGAGAATGAGTGGAGAGAGAGAAGGAAGAAGAGGGGGGAGAGAGAGAGTCGAGAGAGAGACGAGAGAGAGAGATGAGAGAGAAAGGGATGGGGGGAGAGAGGAGAGCGAGAGGAGAGAGAGGGGAGAGGAGAGAGAGGGGAGAGCGAGAGAGGGGGCAGAGAGAAGAGAAAGAAAGAGGGTGGAAGAGGGCGGAGGAGAGAGGAGGCGCTACAAGAAGCGAGAGAGGGAGGGCAGAGCAAGACGAATAGTACAGGCGAGAGTCCCAGAGAAAGAGAGAGGGACGGGGTGCGGAGGAGGAGAAGAAGACTGCAGAGGAGAGAGAGAGAGAAGAGAGAGAGAGAGAGAGCAGAGAGAGAGAAGAGAGAGAGAGAGAGAGAGAGAGAGAGAGAGAGAGAGAGAGCGGAGAGAGGAGAGTAAGGAGATGAAGTGAAGATATGTAGGACGCCCGGATAAATATATGCAGGGGAACAATGCGAGAGCCGTGAGCGAAGAGAGATAGGCGGAGAAGGAAGAGAAAATAGAGAGAGTAAGGTCTCAGCGAGCGCTGTGGAGACGAGGAGATCACTATAGTGGTCGGCTTAGTGTTTGATGTTATTCTATTACTAATCGGTATGCAATCGCCGGGCGTATTCTAAGTAGCGTTCTCGGCCTATTTGCTTTGAATCAGTCTTCGTTCTTTTCGATTTCCTTCCTCCCCCCCGCGTCTTTTATCTTTACATTCTAATCTCTGGACTCTCCTGCTCTCTCGTCGTCTCTCTCTCTCTCTCTGTCTCTCTCTTCATCTCTCCTCTCAGACTCTCTCTTTCTCACGTCAACTCTCGCTCTTCTACTCTTTCTCTGAGCTCTCTCTTTCTGCTCTCTCGCCTCGCTCTCTCTCTGTCTCTCTCTCCGTCTCATCTCTCTCTCGTCGGTGCTCGGTCGCTCTCTTCGACGCGCGTCTCGGCTCTTCTCTCTCTCTCCCCCTTGCTCTGCATCTTCTCCCCCCGCGCTTCTCTCTCGTCGCTCTCTCTCTCGTCTCTCTCCTGCTCTCTCTCGTCTCGTCTCCTTCTCTCATCGCTGTTCATCTCCCCTCGCTTCTCTGCCCGCTCCTCTCCATCTCTCTCTCTCTTATCCTCTCTCATCTCTCTCTCGTCTCTCTCGTCCCCTCTGCTCTCTCTCGTCTCTCTCTCTCTCTTGCGGCGGGCGTCGCGGCGCAAGGCGAGCAGGCGATACAGTCGGTGGTTTGCGGATCGGGGTGAACTGACGCCAAAGCCGCGGCAATTTCCTTGAAGTTGTAGCGATATTTATTATTGCGGACGAGTAATATTTTAAGCAAGAATCTTATGGCGGCAGTAGCGGCGGCAGCCTGGCGTTAAGGCAGGCAAACACCCTCTACCTACGTACTGCCAATCTGTATGGTGAGGTCGGCACATGTCCAACTAAGGAACTGTCAACTGTCAATTAAGCAGGCAGCAGAGTAGCGGCGGCGCGCGGCGGCGGCAGCGGGCGGCGCAGGGAGCGGGCAATGGCAGCAGCAGCAGCAGCAGCCGGCAGCAACAGCAGCAGCAGCAGCAACAGCCAGCAGCAGCAGCAGTAGCAGCACCGGCAGCAGCAGCAGTAGCAGCACAGCAGCCAGTACGCAGGCAGCAGCATAGCAGCAGCAAGCAGCGAGCAGCAGCAGCAGCAGCAGCAACGAGCAGCAGCAGCAGCAGAGGCACGCAGTAGCAGGCAGCAGCAGCAGTAGCAGCAGCAGCAGCAGCAGCAGCAGCTGTACACATCCGACGTGCTGTGCTCACGCACGGCAGCGCAGCATCCGCGCGCTCCTCGAGGCTTCGATGACATCTCAGGAAACCCGATTTCTATTTAGATTCGGCGTGCATGATCGGTCATTCCTCGCGCGCGTGCGTCCGTTCACGACGACATGCAATCTCTCACGCGCGCACCTAGGGGCAGCGATAGTGTTATAAGGCAAACATACCTCCGTCAAGGAAGAAGATGATGTAGCGATTCGAATTCCGGTCGTCTGTCGTCACATAGGAAACAGCCGACCGCGATTTTTGTGATTTTTAGTGATTCCGAATGAAATGCGGTTCGTGTAGAGGTGACCGGTGGATTGCCGTCATCTTAGGTTCGATTACAGGCTTTCGTTTGGCAGTGCTAGGTCTGTTCGAGCTCTCGTGTGCGTACTTTGTTTCCATGGTAACTCACCTGCTGTGACTGTTGAGTCGCTGAATGAGATACTGTCTGTGAATGTGTTACTGACTGAGATAATGGAACTAAATGATTGAGTTGGCTGATGTATTGTGACTAAGTCACTTACTGAAAGACTGTGAATGAGTGACTGACTCACTGAGGTGTTATGACTCAGTCGTCACTGATTGACATACTCAGATACTGTGAATGAGTTAATGACTGACTGAGGTATTGTGACTTTAATAGTCACTGATTGAGATACTGTGAATGAGTCTGACTGACTGACTGTGCGCTCAGTCACTGATTGAGATACTGTGAATGAGTCTGACTGACTGACTGGGCTCAGTCACTGATTGAGATACTGTGAATGAGTCTGACTGACTGACTGTGGGCTCAGTCACTGATTCAGATACTGTGAATGAGTCTGACTGACTGACTGTGGGCTCAGTCACTGATTCAGATACTGTGAATGCTCAAGTCACGGACAAAAGTATTGTGCCCGAGTTACTGTTACTGTTACAGTTGCTGAATGTTGCTATATGTTGCTGACTGTTGCTGGCTGCGTTGCTGACTGTTGCCTTCATTATTGTTACAGAAATAAAGCGATAGCTGACTACCTGAGCAGCAATGGTTACATGAACTCTCTGAATGAGTTTCTCAAGGAGGCAGACATGGTGAGTATGATATCATAGAACTCCCTTACAGCCATAGCTTACAGCAGTTATAGTTAAATAGCAGATTACGGTTAAGGTTAGGATTAGGATTAGGGTTATGTATTATGACCGGTTAATTTTCAGAATTATGTTTATAGGTAGAATTAGCTATTTGGATTAGGGTTGGGGGTAGGGTTATGAAATGTGATTATAGCTAGGGAGGTTAGGATTAGGATCAGGGTCATGGTTAGGGTTAGGGTTATGTTCGATTTAATTTATGCCTGTTACAAGCTTTCCAGCGGCCCTAAAATTTTTTAAAATTCCTAAAATTTTGAGCTCGTCCTAAAATTCCTAAAAAAACTTAAAAAATGTATGAAATTCCTAAAAAAGGACTAAAATGTTATTCAAATTCTTAAAAAAAAATTCCACAGATATGTTTGGAGTTTTTGGTGATGAGATGATGAACTTTTGGTTTGTATTTATGTCTAATGCAGGTCTCCAACCATTCCTCTTTCTGCGGATCATTACGATTTCTAGGCTTAATTTCCGCATTCTGCAGCGGCAAGGTTATATTCTCATTTCAGTTGCACTGTACAAAATTTGCACTGATTGTTCGCATTGTTCGCTTGGACACATTGGTTTTTTTCAGGCATTTTGTATCTGGCATGTCTACAGTAAATGGAACAGCCTAGTCAGACAGGCGCTGTCTGCAAGGTGTCGGCGTAGTTTGTCTGCTAATCAGACAAGGGTTGTAGGGTTGAGATAGTGTTATCAGACATGAGAATATGACCCACAGTATGCCTCAGATTGCAGGAAAATGGCTTAAATATTTCAAAATTTTCTAGGGGGGGCATGCCTACGGCACGCGGGCCTGCCAGCGGCAGCAAGGTACATTTCGCCCCCCCCCCCCTGTCCATCAATTTCTTAATACGCACTAGTTACTGCATCCGCGGAAACATTCCGCATTTGAGTTCACAGGGTTGAGACCCGCTAATGGATGTTTTCTAGTTATCTTTATACAGAGTGAGTATTGTGACTCAGTCTACCAGTGATTCCTAAGCTTCAGTGTCTGATTATACGACCCTGTTCCTGTCTGGATGTACAAGACATGCCTAATTTGCATGAAACTTGATGATGTACAGTCGTATCGAGGACTTGGAGGATAGGAATAGCTGGTAGACTGGATACATACTACATAGAACTGTATCTGTAAGTTAACACGTTGATGTTTATGAAAGGTAAGTGACTTATTTTATCCCTAAAATGTTTCGATTCATCCCTAAAAATTCCTAAATAGTCTAAAAAAAAAACCTGAATTTCTCCCTAAAATTAGCCCTAAGATGTTGTCAAGGACTGCTGGAAAGCCTGCTGTTACGGGCTGTTATGGCCTATACTTCGCCTGAAAGGGTTTGCCTGCACATGCTTGTACATGCATGAGCATCATGTCAAAGGTCAATGGTTCATATATTATACGCCTGTCACATCTCCGTGATTCAACGATGAAGCGCTACATGTTTCTCCTACTCCACAGCTTATCTCTTCACTCCACCTGCTTCTCATCCCTCCAGTTACCATGTACAGCTTCCTCCTCGCTCAATTCGCTATTCTTTTGCGGCTTTCACAATCTCCTGTTATCTCTCTTTCTCTCTCTCTCTCTCTCTCTCTCTCTCTCTCTCTCTCTCTCTCTCTCTCGCTCTCGCTGCCTCATGAATCTTGCTGGGGACAGCCAGACGCGTAAGATGGGAGGGAACAGCGAATAGGGACGAAGTATGGCTACTACTACTACTACTGCTGCTGCTGTGCTGCTGCTGCTGCTGCTGCGCTACTGCCCTGCTGCTTGCCGCTACTGCCGCTACTGCTGCTGCTGCTGCCGCTACTGCTGCTGTTGCTGCTGCTGCTACTGCTACTGCTGCTGCTGCCGCTACTGCTGCTGCATGCCCTACTGCTACTGCTACTGCTGCTGCTGCTGCTGCTACTGCTGCTGCTACGCTGTGTGAATGACTCATCCGCGTACAGTAGCTAATGCAGTCACTGCCGCCGCCGTCGCAGTCCACTACCTGTCTGAACGGCGAGCGTACAGCAACGTGACGTACCGTGTTCCAAATGGCGTGCCCATTTATTTTGTTCCAACGATGAACTTTCTTCACGGCCGTGTACCTGGGAGCGGTAGCTGAAAAAAAAAATTGCCAGAGGGAAAGGACGTGGGTGGGGCTGGCTGGGGTGGTGCCGAGGGTGGGATGGCAGTTGGGGCTGGCCTAGAGGGAACGCTGGTGGGGGCTAACGAGAAAGGGACGTGGGTGCCGGGGTCCTCCAGGAGCGGTAAGGGGCGCGCCACCACCGAGGTGCCGGCGCAGTCTCACGGCTTCTCCTCGTTGTGTTCTCCGCAGCCGGCCGAGATCGACAAGAAGTATGGCGGCAGCTCGAGAAGAAGTGGACATCTGTCATCCGGCTACAGAAGAAGGTAGGTCGTCGCCGTCGCCGTGTGACGTCTCACCACCGTCGCAGCCCGGCAGTGTTAGCGTACACCTCTGTAGAACATGCACCTGCCTGTAAAGGTCGTCACAACCTCTACTGCCTGTAAAGTCGCCGCACCTCTACTTGCTTAAAGGTCGCGCAACCTCTACTGCCTGTAAAGTCGCCACAACCTCTACTGCCTGTAAAGGTCGCTGCAACCTGACGGTCGCCGCAACCTCACTGCTTAAAGGTCGCCGCCCAACCTCTACTGCTGTAAAAGGTCGTCACCAACCTCTACTGCCTGTAAGGTCGATCACACCTCTAACTGCCTGTAAAGGTCGCCCGCAACCTCTACTGCCTGTAAAGGTCGCAGCAACCTCTACTGCCCTGTAAAGGTCGCGCAACCTCTACTGCCTGTAAAGGTCGCCGCCAACCTCTACTGGCCTGTAAGGTGCGCCGCAACCTCTACTGCCTGTAAAGGTCGCCGCACTCTACTGCCTGTAAAGGTCGCCGCAACCTCTACTGCCTGTAAGGTCGCCGCAACCTCTACTGCCTGTAAAGGTCGCCGCAACCTCTACTGCCTGTAAAGGTCGCCGCAACCTCTACTGCCTGTAAAGGTCGCCGCAACCTCTACTGCCTGAGGTAAAGCGTCGTCACAACCTCTACTGGCCTGTAAAGGTCGCCGCAACCTCTACTGCCTGTAAAGCGTCGCCGCAACCTCTGAACTGCCTGTAAAGGTCGCACGCCAACTCTCTACTGCTGTAAAGGTCGCCGCAACCTCTGCTGCCTGTAAAGGTCGCCGCAACCTCTACTGCCTGTAAAGCGTTCGCCAGCAACCTCTACTGCCTGTAAAGGTCGCACGCAACCTCTACTGCCTGTAAGGTCGTCACAACCTCTGCTGCCTGTAAAGGTCGTCACAACCTCTACTGCCTGTAAAGGTCGTCACAACCTCTACTGCCTGTAAAGGTCGCCGCAACCTCTACTGCCTGTAAAGGTCGCCGCAACCTCTGCTGCCTGTAAAGGTCGCCCGCAACCTCTACTGCCTGTAAAGGTCGCCGCAACCTCTACTGCCTGTAAAGGTCGCCGCAACCTCTACTGCCTGTAAAGGTCGTCAACAACACTCTAACTGCCCTGTAAAGGTCGCCGCAACCTCTACTGCCTGTAAAGGTCGCCGCAACCTCTGCTGCCGTAAAGGTCGCCGCAACCTCTACTGCCTGTAAAGGTCGCCGCAACCTCTACTGCTTGTAAAGGTCACTTCCGGAATTTCCCCGGAGTGGCAGTTACGAGGTGAAAACCGCCGTCGCGGAATGGGCGCATGTCTCAGCATATCCCTGGAGTGACCTTTATATGCAAGTTACAGTGTCGCTGTCTCAATGATTTATCGCTGGCTTGTTGACCTCACTCAAACAGTTCAGCGTGCGGCAGTCTAATGGCTTATCGATTAGGTTGAATGATTAGAGTGGATGTGGGGGGGGTGGGGGTAAATGTAAATATGAGGTAGAAGTGAAGGGGAATGTACATGTAATATAGAGGTGATATAGGAGCAATGTAAGTTTGATGTATGGGAAATGTAAGTGCGATTTAGAGGCAATGTATATCGTAGGGGCGATATAAGTGGGATGTAGAGGCAATGTTGTGGACGCCCCGGGTCTCGTCGCTCCGTGTCTCATCGTCGCGTCTCACGTCTCATCGCGTCTCAGGTCATGGACCTCGAGGCGAAGCTCGCAGATGCGGAGAAGGAGTACATTGCTGGAGCGCCCTCTAGAGACAAGCGCTCGCCGGCGGAGTGGATCCCGCGGCCGCCGGAGAAGTACTGCCTGAGCGGTCACCGCGCACCCGTCACCAAGGTCGTGTTCCACCCTGTGTTCAGCATCATGGCCACCTCCAGCGAAGACGCGTCGATAAAGGTAGGTGGCGCTGTAGTCGATAAAGGTAGGTGGCGCTGTAGTCGATAAAGGTAGGTGGCGCTGTAGTCGATAAAGGTAGGTGGCGCTGTAGTCGTAGGAGCGAATCATTGCAGTCAGGGGGGGAGGGTCGCTGCGTGCGGTGACGAAGGTATTCTGCTCTGTCAATAAGTAGGCGCAGGGGGGGGGCGGACCGCGCGCCGCCCGGCGCGCGGCGGCGCGCGCCGGGTCCCGCGGGGCCGCCCGGGCCGGCGGCGCGGCGGGCCCGCCGCGCCCGGCGGCGGGCCCGCGCGCGGCCCGGCCGCCCGCGGGCGCGGCGCGCGCGCCCCGGCGGCGCGCCGGCCGGCCGCGGGCGCCCGGCGCGCCGGCGGCCGGCGGCGCGGGCCGCGGCCGGCGGGCGGGCGCGCGGGCGCGCGGCGCCGGGGCGCCACTGCAATCTGCGTAGGTAGCAGTTGGTTATGCCACTGAACACGACGATGAAGGTAGGGGGCGCTGCTGCAGGCGATGATAATTGCAGGGGGCGCCACTGCAAGCTCACTCTGTGAGGCAGTCAATTCGTCTGTTTCGTGACGATTCCTCACGCGTTGCGGTAACGGCAGCAAGTTAGTGGGGCACACAAAAGGTTTGAGACCTCGTCAGTTGTGAAAATACCTTTATGTCTTTATTCTTCATGATAGCAGAACGGTGCTGGTAGTGCACGTGGTGTTGGGTTAGCATCGTCTGTGTCATGCGGGTGTTATAGCTAGCTGTTTGTCTTGCAGCTCTGGGACTACGAGACCGGGGACTTTGAGCGCACACTGAAGGGACACACGGACTCGGTGCAGGACCTGGCGTTCGATCACACGGGCAAGTGGCTCGTCTCCTGCTCCGCGGACATGAGCATCAAGCTGTGGGATTTCCAGGTGTACGAGTGCGTGAAGACATTGCACGGTGAGCCACCTGTGCTGACCTCTGACCTCCCCCACCACCCCCTAGCCACATACTCACCCACACCACCACCAACCCCCTCCCGCACCACCACCAACCCCCTCGCCGCACCAGCCACCAACCCCGTCCCGCACCACCACCAACACCCCTCCGCGCACCACCACGAACGCCACACCCCACCATCATCACCATTGCCACTGCTGCCGCCACCAGAAATCATTATCGATTAAACTCTATTGTTGTTAAAGATTTTTGTGATTTGTAGACGAACTTTTTTTGGCTAAGGATTTTTGTGATTCGTCGGCTCGAACCTGCGCTGTTTTGCTTCAGGAATATCTACAATCTAGATTTCAGAGATTATCTGGCGCTCTTGGGGGGGGGGGTGTTCTGTTTGCCAGAAACATTGTGAATAGTTCGGCACCACCAGTCTAAATGTCATCACTTAGAAGTGAAGCCCAAGTTATGACGTTATGATGTTTATATGGTCGTAACTTATTCACAATGTCTCCTATTAACAAGGAAAACCACAAAAAGACGTTGCTCGACGTGTCCCTTGACTCCTGACAGCCCACGATTCATCAGTAAAACCCTAAAAGAAACTCATCAGTAAAAACTAGTAGATCTAGTATTGGAATGCTTGCGGTTGGGATATGGTGTGACGCGTCACTATATTCGCTGCGGCGTCCAGACGTG